AGCTTTAAGATGCTTGAGTTTAATCCTCTCAAGATTTCTATAGTAGTAAGCCCTCCTTAGTTCTAGTTTGATTTCATCTGGGTGCTGCCCAAGCCGAGCAATATCTAAAATTTAGGCTATTTCTACATGAAACAACCACACCTTATTTGCAGAAAATATTGACTTCGTAATGGCGCAATTATCTAAATCATCTACAAAGCACAATCAAACAGCCCCTAAGAGCTAACAGACCATTCAAACCACATGAACGTACAGGATTTCGAAGATAACTATGCAGGAACAAACTATTACCGCTAGCTATTGACAGATTCATAAAAGCCCAAATCAGTGAAGAACAAGAAAACGAAGTCAATAGACAGATACCTTAGATCTTGATGATCTTAGCAGCTCTTATGAGGGGGTTGGCCTTCGAGATCTCCTCCCTCCCTGCAGCCTTGTAATCAAAAGAACAATCATGCGTGTCAGAATATCGATGGCGCGAGCAAAATAGGTCGCCGCACCGGCACCGGAAACCAGAGAGGGTGATCCTTTTTCGGCAAGTCGAGCACCGGTTACCAAATTGAGCTGGAGGCTGAGATTGTCCCTCTGGCTTTGGCAGGGAAGCTACCTTGATGGCAGTAGCTTCTGAAGTTTCCAGCCTCTCAGACCTTTGAACTTGAACAACATCAAGGGGTTCCAATAATAAACAAGATGGAGATTGTTGTGGTATTGTTTGCGACGAAGCTGATGAGAGAGAAGTGCTTGATGGCTGAGGGGAAGAGGAGTTAAGGATCTCCGCCTCGTCTTTGCCTAGGTTGCAGCTTTCCGGTGCCATTTGATTATTTAGTAAAGGGCTACTTGAAACCCAGAAGATCTGACCATAGAAGTAAACAAGCTGAAGAAGCTGGATTCAACCCAGGAGAAAGATAATAAAGCAGAAATTAAGAAGGGATGGTAGCTCCAGCAGCCCACGTTGAAGCGATATTAAAAGAGATGAAAAGTAACAAAGGGGAAGGCTTACCGATTGGAAGATTAGGGTTCTTCCAAACAGAAATTTGTTGAAAAAACAAAAGAAGTTAAAACCTTGAGCTGTGGAGCTAGAAGATGGTAGCTTTTTCAAATCTGACCTCCCTAAGTCAAAAATTTATTTGATTCATGGGATAAATCCTAAACTTCAAAGCAAAGTAGCCCGATTTCTCGACCAAGTTGAACAATCCTACAGATCGATCAACCCGTCCGATAGTAGAAATCGAGGCAAAGATCATAAGAAACTGTGAATATATAGAAGCAGCAAAGAAAAGGGAAAGGTGGAAACTTTAGAATTTGGATTGGTTGCCAACAAAAATAAAAAAAAAGATTGTGAAAACGATTAATTGTTTATTGTTAAAGCTCGTTCACAGCCACCGATTAATAATTGTAGGGATGACGATTATTCTTTCATTATCTATAGCTTATCCAATTCCCCTGAATATTCAATTATTTGCTCGAATATTAGTATTGAATTTGATATTTAAATCATTATATTAACTAATCCGCAAGGATTTATTTTTAATTTTTGGGTATCCCAAAACCGAATCTAATCAAATATTGACTGTTTTTGTTATTATTTTTTAAAATTTTACTGTGATTTGACAAAAAACAAACAATGTTGGATTTACGTTTGATATGTATGAATATGTTTTTTTTATATTTTAAGTTGCATATGCATAGAGAGAGAAAGAAAGAGAGAGAGAGAGAATATGATTATTATTTTAATTTTTTTAATGTATTTTATTGGTAGCAAAGGGGTATTCGAAAACCGGCAGCAAGTGGGCACTGATGATAAATTTAATTTAGACAGCCAGTAAGGTTTTGCTATATGGTTTTGAAACTTTAAAGACTGGTACCGTGAATTAAATATAGATGAATACGTCTGGTCGTCATGAATTGTGGTGGCATCTCTCTTTACTTGTCGCGATGTTTGTTTGAAAACCTTTTTTTTTTTCTAATTCGATAAATGCAATTTTAAATTATATTTAATGGCTCCTTTGCTTGCTAATAGAAAGAATATATATTTTTAGAAAGAAAAAATTTTGTTTTGCTCATTTCAAGGTTTTCTTTGATTATTTTCGTGATTAAAACTTAAAAATAATAATTAGTAAATATAATTTTTTTAATGTTCATCTTTTAAAAAAAAATAGTGGAATAAATAAAACAAAAACTGATCAAATAAAATAAAATTAAATTCAGAAGAATTATTTTAAAAAGATTATTTTTTTGTAAGGCATCAATTTCAGCACTGTTACCACTAGGGCTGCAAGCGAACCAAACGTTCGACGAGCTACTCGTTGTTCGGTTCGATTAGAGCTTGTTAATTATTGTTAAATAATAAAATTTAAAGTAAATAAATATTATAAATATGTTTGTTCATATATATGTTTATGAACATGTTTGTTTGATAGTTAAAAAAATTCATTAAATATGTTCGTGAACATGCTCGATGTAATCGTTTGTTAGAAAGCTCGATAAAGCTTGTTTGTTAAGTTAATGAACATCTAAAAGTAGAGCTCGTTTATAGCTCGTTCATGTTTGTTTGTTTAAAGCTCGATAAGCACTAAACGAACGAACATGAACCAAACAATAACACTCATTAATTTAAATGAACCAAACATGAGCACAAATAATAAATCTCGAACAAACATGAACCAAACTTGAACAAGCTGATATTAAATGAACACAAACATGAAAACTCACATACTCGACTCGGCTTGGTTCGTTTGCAGCACTAGTTACCACGACATTGCTTTACAAATCAACCAATTGCACGATTGTAAGATATTTAAAAATGAAAATATTCCATCAGTAAATTAAGATATGCGTCGAGTTTCAGAAAATACAACCTGCCGCGT